AATAGAAGAGATAATGATAACAAATTTATCTCGGTGTTTAGTGCGTTTCAATACATGGCACTCCGACATTATTTCGAACAACAAACGTAACTGTTTGTTTGTAATTTGTAATGTAGATGATGACGTCATAACCAATTTTGTATGTTTTACTCTCAACTTAATGTAAAATGGTTTAAATACCACATCGATTTCACAAACTGACAAAGTATACACCAGGTCCATCACGCAATGACAAAATATACCTGCCAGGGTAAAAACCAGAACTGAACCCCATTCCCCTTTCTTCAAACAGAAATAAACAAGAGAGCATATTGGTGATAAATATTGTAAGGTAGTAAATATCAATAGAAACAAATGTACAGTAAAAACCTCGATATAATGCCCGTCATTTCAATTGCCACCTCACTTATGCCTCTGTCACACTTGACCGGTTTGAGCCTCCGAACATGAAACGGATGACATATTTGTATATCCGGTGATGTTCGTCAATATTCGTGTTATGTCAGTTTTATGTTAGGAACATTCATTTCATGTCAGGTGATGTGCGGTGCGTCCGCCTGCATCCGTTAGAAAGTTTTGTGCATGGGGCCACGCGTCACCAAAAAGCAGACCTGGATGAGGGAACCGCTGGAGCCAGGGTTGAAGTTGGCCCTCACACTTCGGCATTTAGCATCAGGAGCAACGTACATGGACATGCGCTATGGCTGGAGAGTTCCACACAACACCATCTCCCTCGCTGTCAGAGAGGTAATTATCATTTTTATTATCTTGTCTCATTTTTTCATGTATTTATTGCATTTATGTCCCTTTTATTGAAACATTATTATTAAAATGTCCCGAAGATCTGTGTACCAGGTCTTCAAATACTCGACTGAAAATACAGAAACAGAAACAATATTAAATACGAGAACAGTGTGCAGAATCTGGCAATGCATGATCAGTGACAAACTTAATTAACTCAACAATTGTGCAATTTATGACAAATCTCATACTTTTATGAAATCCAAAATGTTACAACATATATAAATGCACATTTGGGCCCTTTTTCTATGACAACATCAATCTAACACATTAGGGTCGTCTTCCTATGACAAATCTCACAACATCAAAGACAAATAGATAAATAAATGGAAACTTACGATCATAGTAAAGCCTTTCAGCCTGCTCAGCCCACACGCGGCCCTTCTTGGCCTTATTCTTGAACTCCTTGTCTTTAGAATTCCATAATAAGGGATTTGCCTCTATCCACTCTAGCCCCAGGGCCTCTTCCTCCTCATCTTTCAGATGGCAACTTTTCTTAACCCTCTTCTTGGCAGTCTGTCGCCCAGCTTCTTCAAAACCTTCTCCAACTTCACCTGCACCATCACCTATCTCTTCGCCATCTTCAACTGCAACAGGCACGTCATCACCACCTTCATCATACTGAGTTTGTATTTCCTCAGTTTCTTAGGTAGTTTCTTGTGCAACAGCATGCATTTCAGCATCAACAGCCACTTCTTCTGTCTCTTTTTCTTTTCCAGGCACATTCTTCATGTTCTTCTTTGCTTTCCTTCCACGAGGCATTGTGAAGATGCAGTCAGTAGTGCAACTTTTCGAAAACTGGACCGCTGGAGAAATGCGGTCGCAAACTTGTTGTTTCCTGCACGCGCCCGTTGATGTCTGTTATGTGTTCGGTTGGCCGGAATGCATCCTGTACGCGCCCGTTGATGTCCGTTATGTAGTACGTCCGTAGTTTGGGTTTTTCTACCGGACTGACAACTTTGCCACCATGTTCGTTTGTTGTTCGTTACTCATTCGGAGACACTTGGCTGGTTGAACTGTAGCCGTGCGTCACATGTTCGTTACCGGTACGTGTCAACCGTTCCATGTTCGGTGCAAGTACGTCCGTAGTTTGGGTTTTTCTACCGGACTGACAACTTTGCCACCGGATAACAAAAAAATCCTATACGTTGATGTACGGAACCCCAATCCGGTCAAGTGTGACAGAGGCATTACCGCCAACATATTTGCAGGTCCCTTAATTATGTTTTTCTTAAGAATCCCTCAATTTATCGCCAAACCCCTTTATATTGCCAACAATTCTTTGAACCAATGATGGCAATATAACAAGGTTTTGCTGTACCTTAACATTCAAGAAGAGATGATCAGCCAACGTTTTGATCGGGGTGACCGATCGAACAATGGACAAAAAAACTTGCCTAAAATCTTTAACCAAGTTTAACTAACCACTTTTGACCTAAAATAATGAAAATATAATTCAGAACATTGCTAACACCCCATAATATGGATATTCCAACTTTATAATAGGCAACAGCCTATTGATGTTGGTGATCCAACACTACAAAAAAAACAAGAGATCCCAGAGGGCGCCCACCATTGTACCATCTTCATTAGTTATTTGTCAGTTCGATCTTTTCTCTTCTTTTCTCTAATCTGTTTGATCTAGTCATGTTAGCAGTACATGCACCTTGAGTTAACTTTTGATCTAAACTTAATACTGCTGTGTATAAAAGACAACCCTCAAAGTGAGTTTGTCATTACACATATTTACTAGTACATTACTTAATGTGAAAGAAATAGACCGATCATTGCAATATGAGAAAGATATGTTTAGTTCTTCCTTTGGCCATTTTGTTTGTATGGTCAGTCTCAAAATATAACATGCACAACGAGGGATCAAGGGGAACCTACATATCAAAATTGAGAAAGATCCCTCAAGTTATTCCTGAGAAATAGCACTAACAAACATTCAATGTCAAAAATTGAAGATGGTCGCCGGTCGGCCATTTTGTTTAACTGATCAGTCTCAAAAGTAAACATAAACAATAAAGGACAGTGGGGACTTTGCATATAAAATTTGAGAAAGAACCCTCTAGTACTTCCTGGGAAAAAGCACTAACAAACCTTAACTGTCTAAATCAAAGATTTGTTTATCCAATCAGTCTCATAAGAAAACATGCACAACTACACACCAATGGGGGACTACCTGTCAAATCTGAGAAAGATCTCTCCAGTCTTATTTAGAAATAGCTATTACAAACCTTCATTGTCCAAATTCAATATGGCTGCCTGTTGGCCATTTTGTTTATCTGATCAGTCTGGAAGATGGACCACGGACACAGTGATTTGAAAAGCCTACCATCAGATGGTGGTGGGCTATAAAAACTTGCCCAAAAAAATTAAACAAGTCCAATTAAGCTGTTTCTTGGCCCCTTAAATATGAAAATGTGGTTCAGCATATTGCTTACACTCCATATAAATACTTCAGCCTTATTATAGACAACAACCTATTGATCCAACACTTCACAAAAAAACCTTCCCCAAAAACTTTTACCTCAAGCTTTCCCAAAAACTTTAATCAAGTCCAATTTAGCTGTTTTTGGCCCCTAAAAAAATGAAAATATGGTCCAGCACATTGCTTACACTCAATATAAATGACTTAACTGCATCATAGACAATTGTGTATTAAGTGTGATGGTCCAACAATGATTTCCGAGCAGGCGAGCTAACAAAATGAGAGCAAGTGTTTCCTGCCCCACATGAGGCACCGGTCACTGTGTCCCCAATACAGTTCTTTATGTCACGTACAAAGGTACAATCCAAGTCTGATTGATTATTCTTTACTCATGGTAGCAATAAAATGTCATAGTTGGAACCTACTTATAAAGTACATCCTGGTAAAGTAGTGTATTGGTCAACAGAACTCGTCGATCTAGAACACTCCACAAGTACGAGGGGAGGCAACCCCTATCTATGTTAATTATATATATAAGTACTCACAAGACAAGATATATAGAGTACATGATGAAAAACTTACCGAAGTACATGATTTACTGTATGTTTAAGTAAAATAATACTAATTTCAGGAAATGCCATCTGATTAAAGTAGATCATAATTAACTGCAGTACCAGATGTATGTACCACTTTACAATGCTTCTAACAACTTATTCTTGTCTCTAAACATTACTAAATATATTTATTGCTTAAGTGCTTCTTTTGTTATCATCATTAAATCAATTAATCAAATATTAAATAGAAGTTGACGGTGATGTCTTATATAACACAACATACGTTGATCACCAATACATAACCGACAGTTGTATTGACGTTATCTTACCAGCTATCAAACTATATAAAAGGGAACTGAAAAGCCTAGGTTTTAAGACATGAAATAAAAACACTCTTAACACAACACAGTACAGTCACATTTATTTATAATTTGTCTCTCTCCTCTGCAAATTCAGATCGCAATACACATCTTAGTACAATCACATAATCACATGTATTACTATTACTACACCAAACATGTTGCACAGATTTACACAAAGTACATCTTTCAGTTTAAAATGTCATTACTTAAAAATGTGGAACTGAAGCCTTTTTCTAATAATGGTGAACATTTCAATCCCAGCTTTAGTCCTAAAATAACAGGATATCTCATTTTTAAACTGTTTAATGAAGCAGAGAAGATGATAGTTGCTTATTTCAGACTATCCCAGCATATGAATACATTCTTTTTTCAATACAATACAAGTAAATGTTCATGTTAAAAACACCAAAGTGTGTTTTTTAATCAGAATTACCAACTAAAAAGCAAGTAGCCAAACATAATTCAATAGAACATGGACGATGGAGCATTTATCTAAATCCCCAGGTCTTTATCAACAGGTTTGGTGTTATTTTTAGCATACTTAAGCTATTGTAGCTGGTTATTACTTGAAGTGGTTTAGAAAATATTGATATGATGCAGTACCAGTGTTTGAAATCAACACTCCAGCGCTACATTAGCTACTCACATGCTTGTTATTGTTACACAAAGTAAGCAAAAACATTTGCCGATTGAAAAATGGTGAACATTCCACAAAAATATCACTTTTCACACAAGTCAGGTTTTTAACCAGCATTTGAGAATCTGAGTTTGATTGTGGAAAATGTACCGATTTTTATCATCGAATGGGGCCTATATTAGACCTCAAATATTATCCAAAAATTGAAGAGCACAGCATATCACTGTATACCTTAAGATTTTTTTAATAAGTACAGGAATGATCAAATCTTCGGTAATAAAACAAGTATTGTTTCTGATTTATACCAAGTACATTGCAGAACAAAAGGAGTAAAATGTACTTTCATCGACAATTGAACTATCTTTTTATAGTAAATTATTAGGTAAAATAATAAAATGAAACCACCAGGACATCTTAATGGTATGCTCCTGGGGTAAGTTTCAACTATACTTCAAAACACTTTGACATAAACAACTACATATAGCAAAATCTGGAATAATTGGTAATTCTTCAGGAAGCTTCTTAACTTTAACCTCTTTTTAAGCTGTAACAAATAGTTTTTCATGAATATTGGAGGCAGTGCACATTTGTCCATATATGCGTCTTGTTTTAAGCAATATTTTTTTTTATCAGCAAACCGTATCTTTTTATGTTTGACATCAAATTAAAGATGATTAAACATGAAACTGTATGCATGTTGTTTGCAACATTTTCATATATTTTAAATTGTCTTTAGACGGCATTTTAGTGTTCCCTATGTAAAGTGAATCACAATGACTCTGATCCTGGAAACAAGGACTGCTAGTTCACAGTGAATATAAATCCTTTGGGACCTTTGTCCTATGTGTTGGTGACAACCCCTTTGTCCTTTTATCATCCTGAACAGCCCCGACATCCACAGTTCACACACTCTACAATTTTACCCTGCAAAATAAAATTTTAAAAAAACATAAGCTTACTGGTAAGTTGATGACTTGATAAATTATATCATGAACTTTGATAAAACAAAAACTTATCAGCTGTTTCACTTTGAATGTTTATCAGTAACCAATACACAAAAGAGTACTATGGATTATAACACTTACTGCCTCAAGCTTTCCCTTTGGTACTCGGCACACACAGTTACTATTAAAGTTGGTGTCCCTGGTTTGAATACACCGCAAACAGCACAGATTCTCATAGCCTTGCTTCTTCCACTTAGCGATGAGATTTTTGTCAGCAATATTTTCCTTCAGACAGTACTCATAGAGTTCTGAAGAATAAATAGATGCCATGTTTACAGTTCAGTTCACTTTGCCACGACAGATGCATTTTCTTACAATAACAATTATTTTGTTCCTTTTCTTGTTTCCAAAATTGTATCATTATATAAATCATTAATCATTTCTTCTAATGTACTGTGAAAAAAATCATATATATATAATTTCATAAATAGATAAATTGGCCCACATACATATATAAAGTTTCTTAAAGCCAAACCTTTATTTTAATCGGTTATTTTTCACTAGTCCTAGCATAAAATCTAGTAGACTCAAAAGTGCACACTTCAATTTACTTTCAACAATCCTAAATTGTAGCGCAAACACAACAGGCAGGGTGGAAATACATGCTTGTAAATATACATATTTGTCACTTACAAAGACAAAACCTAAAATTGAGGGAAAAGATCCCTCACTTTTGAATTATTTCCTCTTGATTTCTAATTATAGAGCATTGGAAATACACACCATTATTTATGTGTGTTCAATAATTAAAATGCGTGTGTTCATGTATTAAAAACGTCCCAGCAGAAGACCCAGACACTTTTTTCAGAAGTGGTCATCAAAAAATATTGAAGACAACATAGATGACATTGTGACATGTGATTGCTATATCTACCTCTGCTAATGGCTTTCCTCCTGTAGAACAAGTCAAAAATATAGCGTGACTTTTGGTGGTGGATACGGAATATAGGCCACAGTCCTTCTACCTTTCTTTTGCCTTCATGTGGGTCAGTTTCAGCTATAATTGGAAATAAAGAATAGTTCAGTAGATTATTGACAATGAATACATACACCCAATGTAAAAGGTCTAGCTTTCAGATCTAGAGCTGAATTTACTCATATTGATATTTTGGTTAAAATATTCTAATTCAAAATGTTAGTAAGGTGTACAGTGTACATTTTAGGTTGATGTATGTTAATAAATATTGCAATTAATGTCTGGTGTTTGTCTAAGAATTTAAAATTTTCTAACTTTGGAGTCTTCAATGATATTTTGGGGCAAATTGTTCCACAAATCCTCACTTCGCAATATGGAAAAAATCTTTCTTCTGTCAAAGTGAATTCATCTTTTAAACATTTTCTGAAAATGCCCTCTTCTTCTGGATCTGCATATTATCATTCTCAAACATGGGTCACCGGGGTTCGTTACTAATGTCTGAAATACACATATGCTATACTGATATGGGTCACAGTGCTCTTCTTATTCTTCTGAATACTAGTGGGCCATCAATGCTGATGATTTATCACTAGCCGTTGGTTTAAAAGTAAAATAAGTAAAACAATCAAGTGACTTAAAGTTGCGCGAGAAAGGACACTCTGATGGTTGATTTGAAGACATAAACAGTGTCGACAGAAACGAAAGACTGAGGAAGCAGATTCCATTGAGTTATAGTTCTGGGGTAGAAGGGGTATTTGTAGCAGTCTTTAGACGTTTGAAGGTGTTTAAAGGCATATGGGTTATGATGACTTGAACTAGTGCGGGGGTCGACAGGTGTGAGAAGATTTCCTGGTTTGAGAGCAACATGGTAATGAACTATTTTGTAAAACATGATGAGTCTGAATTGGAGATTCTATCAACAGAACAGAACAGATGGCGGAGATGTAGGGGTGAATGTAGGGCCAGTTGAGAGTGTTCATCATGGCAGTAGCAGAGCTAGTTTTGTACTGTGGTCCATATCATTATAGCATACAGAATGTGTATATCAGACATTTGTAATGAACTTCTGTGCATAGGTGGAAGTAACTCGCATCATGGATATGTTGTTCATCAATGTGTTCAGTTTATGAGTGGGCTATATAATCTGAATTTGGTGGAGGGATTGTTCTTGATCTCGCCGCTCAAGGAAAAACTCATGGACACAGTAAAAAAATACTCAAACAACATTGTCATTTAAATATTAGAAAACATTACTTTACTCAAAAAGAATAATTTATATCTGGAATAGTCTCCCACAAGATGTTATTTCATCTCGTAACGTATTTGACTTTGAGAAAAACTTGGACGAATTCTGGAAAGATCTTCATTTGAAGAGCGATCATAGAGCGTCTTATGTACATGAATGTTCATGCTTATTTTAAGTTTACCAAATTGTATTTCAAATTATATAGTGTCATTAGTGATAGATGTGGATGTAGTAATAATATTAATACCCGGCCTCCTCTGTCCCGGTCTCTAACGACGCAATATATAAAAAAAATGTCTCTCGTCGTCAGAAAGCTACGTTATCGCAGCTAATGTGGATGTAGAGGCAGGAATGCCTGCGTCCACTAATATCCGATTTCAATTCCTAGTCTCCTTTCATTCAGCTGTCCTTTAAATATCTTACTTTAACATATTTAGTCGTGTTTGGTCAAGGTTAGTTTGACTTGCGCTGTTTATTTAATTACGATACTATCATGAGTTGGGACATTGTCAGGGCCCTGTGTCTCTTCACCATTTTGTCATTCACTCAATAGCCTTTTTTTACCTTCCCGCATCTTTTGATCCAATTCGTCTATTGTTGGTTCGATAAGCTCCCATCCCTCTGGAGGAGGTTTCCTGCTTCTCCTTACTTTTGGCATACTGTTATTTTGGTAGATAGGCCTATATCTCTTCAACTCGGTTAATATCTACGTCTTGCTGGATTTTATACGTCGGGTCAACACAGTTAACTAGATACGTTTACGCTTTTAGCACATTGTATTACATCCCCATTGATATCTTCCTCTATGTGATTGCGACCGCATTCCGGGGTTCCCGCTCTCGTTTGCACTTCCGGTTTACAACAATCCTAGCTCGAGGTCTGAGAGGTGCGAAAGCCCTGTAGAGTTTTTTCTTTGTCGGGTGGATCTGTTAGCATAGACGAAAATGCCTAGAGGTAATGTTTCACATTTTTACCCGTCTTCCTCAATTAAAAGGAGTCGTTCTTCGTTTGTTATACTCTAAATGTGTTCTTATCGTTCGTTTCAGCCTTTAACATGTGGCGAAGTTTAACTCACAGATTCTGGACACACAAAACTATTATATTATTACAATAAGTGTATACTTTCTTATATTTATTAGAAATAACCAGAAACGTATTTGTTATAACATGGTACATGTATACATCATATATTTTTTGTGTGTAAAGCACCTTTTAGTTAAAGACAGTTTTTGTAGAAGAAATTATGGTTATTATAGTGATTATTGAACTATTTTTAGGTCTGCTGTAATGCATAGTATTGCAATGTTATTAATGTATTTATAAATATACAATCCAACTGATTTAACTGTGTTATACGAAGGTGGTAATGAAAGTCAAATATCAGTTTTAAATAGAAAAAAATATGAAAATGCTGGAGCATTGTCAGATGCATGATCAATCAGTAATTCTTGAAAAGGCTGCCAAACAATTCTTCTTCTACTTCTACCATATACTTGCCTACTTCATGTAGTAGTGGTGAAACTTCCACAGGATGAAGATTATGCAAGTGACATGTGTGTGAGCAGACTGGGCACTGGGGGGGGGGGNGACAGTGTCGTGAAGGTCTGACAGCCGGAATTGGATCAGAGGAACGTATAGAGATAAGGTTGTTGGCTGTTTTGCATAGTATAGTGAGGCGGGCGTCACAGCAACAAGTTGCCAAGCTCCGCCACTGTAGGCCATTGGTCATGGCTCCCACAATGGAGGTATTTCTGTGGCGATTAGTGACAAAGCGGGCAGCTCGTTGCTGGACCTTCTCAATCTAGCCTATATCCGTCAGGTATGGATCCCAGACCACACTAGCATACTCATCCATTATAAGGGTTAATGTTACCAACATGGTACAATGCATATTTTATATTTCATTGAGGAAAGAAGAGGAAACAGTTGGCAACTGGACCAAGTGAAGATTTGATACTCAATAGCATGTTGCTTTTGTGTCTCTAAAATAACAAAATTAGGCAACATTGTTTTTGCAGAATGCGATATTATCTAGAGAAAAATGGTAAAAACAGGGGGCGTTTTTTGAGTCAGTTTAACATACATGTACCTGAAAGAGCTGGATTATAAATCCCGGATTGTGGTGATCTTAAGATGCAAAATGAAAATATTTTTGTGTCATGTGTAGGGATTTTATTTGGGATATACATATGAATGCCTTACATGTGCTGTATTGAGTGCAATAGATGTAGCCGACTTGAATGAATCTACTTCTGATCAGGGAGTATCATTCATTTAGAGTTAATTATATAATCAAGCTTGGTTTAAGGTGGATATATTCTTGTTCAGCAAGTCTAGCATTGATATCCTCATCTCCACTCTTTACTTTAGGTCGGTATATATTTTTTCTGACTGTTCATAACTAGGTCATCTTACACCAGTAGAGTTGATTTTTCTTTATAGTAGAGCCCTTTTTCACATGTTTGGAGTGCTAGCTTCACTTCTCATGCACATGTGGGATCAGCCATGGTGAAGTAAGTATAATTATTCACAAGTAACTTGTTGTTTCTATAGGGGGTGCCAGAGGAGGAGGAGGTGGAGGAGGTGGAAGGGGAGCTAAGCGTATATTCAAGGGTCAGAGACGCCATTTCACAGATGAAGCACAGATCACTTCAGACATGGAGAAAGCTGAACGTGAACAGCAGTGGCGGGTACGATTGTGTCACATATATATATATGTTTAATGAATTCTTGTTTCTAAGGAAGAGGATCTTATAAAACCATAATCAGGGGTTTCATATGTAGCCAGTAGCCAATAAAATACCCTCCTTCTCAAGATATTTCACTGGCTACTTTTATGAAATTAGAAGAATGGTAATTGGGTACTATGAAATATACTGAAATTAACCACCTACTTTGTGTTGGATACATGCAATTAAAATTTTATTTAAACCCCTGCATAATCATACAATATCTATGTTTGATGTTGAAGAAAGCAAGAGGAGAGGTGGATGATGATCGAGTGCAGCCTGGCGACCTCCCACCCTCTGGGTCAGAATCTGAGGAGACAGACTCTGAAGATGAAGCGGTAATATATTACAGATACTCAATAGAGCAAATTGCTGACCTTATATAGGTTTACCTTTTGCCTTTTTCGTTCTATGTAATGAAGGCCAATTTGCATGACATTGAGCGTTGGTACACAGCATACCATACATAGTAATTACAAGTGAAGGGCAAAGCTAACAATGGGCAAATGGGAATTTTATCTGTGAAATTTTGCAAAAGTTTGACTGCCAGTACAAGTATTTGTCGGTATGTGGTATATGGTATGGTACAGTAGAGTATTAGTTTTGTCCATGCTGTAATAATTATTGGCTGCATCAGGCACTTGTCTCAGTCTTGCCATGATATCATTTTCTTTAAACTGTATGTTTCTATAGAACAGACACAATTTATATTCATTTTTTGTTAAAATGTAATTCTTTAATTATAACCTACAATCTTAAAATGCATCGAAAATAAGACCATCTTAAGTTTGTAGTTGGCCAGCCTCAGAAAAAAGCAATAAATTCTTTACACAAAAAAAACACTTGTCAGCTTAGTTTCCACATTTCAGATGTAGACCTTTGTAATGTTTCAGTATTCATTTAAAGAATACACTTCTAACAGGTTTTTATTGATAATGTAATTCAAAGTCCCCTTTTCCTATATATTTTGTACAAATAAAAATGTTAATATTCTTTTTCAATAGCACTGCCATTAAATAATTGTCTAACTACCTTTACACATTCCTTATAGGCAAAGCCAAAAGGAGTGGCACATCTGATTGAAATAGAAAATCCAAATCGGCAGAATCGGGCTCAGTTGAGGAAGGTGACAGATGAAGCTGCCACTACTAAGACAGAATTGTCAAGAAGGGAACGGTCAGTCAGATACAATCACACTAGTAATGGTCTTATAATTTCATTAGCATACAATTTTTTTGTTTTTCAAATTCAATGCCTAGAGCATTTCCTTTGAGATGGAACAGTGAATGTCTAGGAACTGACTGGTTTGTACACTTATAGTTCCCAGGTGTCTTATTTTAAAACAGACATTGACACATCATTTTACAATATTACAGAGAGGAGATAGAAAAGCAGCAGGCAAGGGAAAACTATCAGAAACAGCACCTGGCTGGTAAGACGGAGGAGGCGCGGGCAGATTTGGCCAGATTGGCAATCATCCGCAAACAGAGGGAGGAAGCATCTAAGAAACGTGACACAGATGCTGAGAAAGGTAGGTTACTGTTTAATCTTACCTAGATATTGAGAAAGGTGAAACACAGAAATCACAGTAAGTTGTAAAAGTAACCTAGAGATTAAGAAAGATGGACCACAAAGGTAGTA